TTAGTACCAGGTGCAAGTGCTCCCCTTGTTATTCAGTACCAGGTGCTGGTGCTCCCCTTGTTATTCAGTACCAGGTGCTGGTGCTCCCCTTGTTATTCAGTACTCGGTGCCAGTACGCCCCTTGTTATTCAGTACCCTTTGCGAGTACTCCCCTTGTTTTTCAGTACCAGGTGCCGGTACTCCCTTTGTTATTCAATACCAGGTGCCAGTACTCCCCATGTTATTCAGTTCCAGCAGATACTGAAAGGTGGCAGTACTTTAAAGAGAAAAATGAAGAGGTGCTGGTACAGTGTACTAGCAAATATCGGCCCACTTCTAGCACCGACAACACATACTGTGTATATTATTTTACGTTTAATTCCAGAAGAAGCAAATGTCATTTAAAGGCTGGTTGACTGTGTCTACAGATAGACATTATGAGTAGCTCTAGGTCGATTCTTGAGTGAATACATCACCAGTGGGCCCTTGAGTATGGCATCTAACCCTGAAAACTACTTTGGGGTGCTGAAAAAAAATAGATGATCCAGGGATCCGACTCTCTCACTCTCGCAAGTAAACATATCTGTATGTTTCATAGGAGAGCAAGTTGGGACCACTCAAAGACTGAATTGTATTGTACTTGCTACCTTGTAAATGACAAAAAAGGCATTCTGTTCTAGTCTATTCTAGATCCCGTCTCTATTATGAGTTTTGAGAAGTAAGCAAAGTTGACCGCTTATTTGCTGACAACTTAAGAACGCAAATCCCTCGTAAGCAAAAGGTTTATAGACATTTTGTCTAAAGGATATGTAACTGACCCATTTTTCTATTTTAAGCACCATTATAGTTACATGCACAGTACATTCATGCAGACCACCATAGGAAGTTTTAGCCTGTTATGCCACAATATGAAACTTCCTGTAAATAGCCAATGTCAAAAAGAGGTTTTAAACAAGCATAATTTATTTAAAATTCATGTACAATAACAGAATAGCTTACAGCTAGGTAAAATGCATATTAAGAAAACGGTGGAATGGTGATTATGAAGTAAGCTCGTAAAGCAGTAGTTTTTTAAATGAAGAAATATAAAATGTATTATAAAACTGACTGGAAGAAAATATGCATTACTGGAAAATTCAGTTCTGAAGAATCTTCCACAGCTTGTCAGATTGTCCGGCATCCTTTATCCACAAATGTTCCGCTGAACTGGCGTCTGGAGATTTCCTCAAAACAAATTTTACCATGGTCAGTAAAATTTACACGAAACCTACTACATTCCTTCCGCACTTTTTAGCTGTTCCGCTCATTTGCCCCCACATCTGCTGCAGTACATCAGAGCCATGACACTTTTACCGCGTAATGGCTTTGCGGAGGTGCCCGACAAACATGTCAACATACACTAGTAACGATCTTTTAAAATTTAAATAAAACAAAATCAACATCGACTAAGCAAGCCGCGCACAATTACAGCTAATACAATATATCTATAAAAGTCGGATAATTACAGTATGTGAGTATGTGAGTCTGTGTGTGTGTATGTGTGTGTGTGGTTGTGTGGTATGGGGGCGGTGTCTCCCTAAATGTTTTATATGCAAAGTGCATCCACATCGCCATTTTCTGTTTTTTTTCCCCTTCTTCTTCTTCATAGGCATGGGAGGGGGCGCAGGGAGTGACAGACTCCAGCTATTTTCCATCACACCCCCACTTGCTCGCCACTGTATTAAATAGTTAAATATGTCTATTTAAAATGGACAAGTAAAATGACTAATACGTGCGCATCCAAGCATTTCCACTCGCAGGCATACCCTGTTAGGGTGGGTCACGTCCCGTCACGGACGTAACGAGTTAAAGAGCCCAAGCTTTTCCTCGGCGCCATATTTGTTGTGGGTTTTTCAGAGTTTTTTTTGGAGGGGGTGTCAAGAAGATGGCGGCTTCCAGAAAGGCATGAGAGGGGATACTTCTCAGTAAAACAAAAGCAATCGGGTTGCATTTTTGAAGGTCCGGCCCAAAATCGCCCTGCGGAAATACTGACGTGAAAGTAAGTGTTTTCCCTTACCGGCAAAATATAGTAATGATATTAATTCCGTTTTTGGTTGGGTAAAAGCGTCCGCCATTTTTCTTTAGGGATGTAGCAAAACGGGCTGTTTAGTCGACAAGATGGCTGCTTCCACCGGAGCAAAGTGAAAATGAAAGAAATTCATTTTGTGCAGTAATGCAGATGACCACTGTGTTCATTATACGGCTAACTGAGTCATTAATCGTCGGAAAGCATCTGTAATACGTAAAGTTTCAAGTTTTCAACACCAAACAGTTGCCATATTGTTATGGCGTGACGCATGCGTGTTGCAATGAATGTTCTGAAGGTTTTAAAATTATTTTATATTTTTGGTGAACTTGGAGAGGCGATGTGATACATTTTGTAGGGAGGAGTGTGATTGCTGGTCTGCACGCCCGGGTGAAATGGCGGCTCCCAGAGAGGCATGAAAACACCCCCCATGAACAAATGCTTACTTTACGAGCAGCAATGCGGTCCACATTTCTGTGTCCCCATTATAAAATCCACCTGCGATCGGTTTACATTTCGTATTTAATAGTATGCGAGACGTTTTCAGTTTAGCTTTATTCTTTCCGTTTTCTGTGATTGTTATTATTTTTAGTCCGCCATTTTTAGGCTGGGGGAGTCGGTTTGTTTGGTTACAAGATGGCGGCTCCCATGGAGTGGCACTGCTTCAGCTCCGGAGTCGAAATATTCAATTTCTTTATTTAGAATGCGGTTTTTGGAGAGTGTGTGCGCTATTATTCATGTGCACCTGGAAATTCAGGGACGCTGGATATTTTTTGGGTTTTTATGCTCCCTCCGCGGCCAAGGGCTTCACTCCTGGGCGAGCCGGCTCCTGTAAAGTGGCGCTAAAATGGCGGCTCCCGTGGGTTTCTTAGCCCCCGGCTCTGTTTAATTCGATTTAAACACCGAATTTAAACTGTAGTTTTGTTGGCTATCCAGAAACTACAGACCAGCGCTTCTGTGTGTTTTAAAATATATTATTGGAGGCATTTTCCCTCCTTGACGCTTATTTGTCGTATCGGCATTGTATTTTATTCATTCGGTGGGATTTTTATATCTTCTGACTTAAATTCAGCGTTTTGCTTTTTATTTATTTTTCAAAGCCCTTTTTATTTTTAATTTCCCCCAAGCGACTATGTCTTCTCCTGGTTGCGCGGTGCCTGGCGCCCTGCAGCCGCGTTGGAAGCGGGTCCTTGGCTGGTCCGGCCCGGTGCCCCGGCCTCGGCATGGACACCGGGCGGTGGCAATCAAGGAGCTGATGGTGGTTTTCGGTGGGGGGAACGAAGGCATCGTGGACGAGCTGCACGTCTACAACACAGGTAAGACTTCAGAGATCAAATTGCCTAAGCTTGGGGCTAACAGTGTTAAAAGCTACTACCAGGAGAACTCGTTCAGGTAGACGTTTGTAAATTACTAATGCTGAGCATTATTACCTTTTGGGAGAACTATACCCTACTGTTTAGAGGGGGTGGATTTGTCAAAATCCGTTACCGGCGTTACGTCTGCAGGCTAACTCACCCAGTTTGTGCACTGCATAATTCAAGTCGTTTTCTTTCAAAGAAAAACATGTCAGTACTCGTTACTTGCATGCAGGCAAACGTGTCGCAGTGTATCGCTGTGGTTTGCACTTTCGTGGTCAATGGCTTTAGATTTGTCTGTTTCGATTGTGGCGTTAGCCACCTTGTTAGCTCGGGGGTCCTGGGAAAGGAGGGAAATACAAAGAAAAATGGCGCGCAAAAAAAAAAAATGAACGACGCAGCGCGCGCTGACTGGACACCACCCACACGCGTTGGCCGCGTATTTAACCTTCCTTAAAATCCACTAGTTTAACCGTTTATAGCTCTCGCGTTGGCGGGTTTACCGTAATATGTCAAGCCTGCCGGCGGCCGGTAATATGCGAGCTGCGGCGGCGGCGCCATTTTGGCTGCCGGCTGTCTTGACTGGCGGACGGCTGGGCGGCCTCGTTTGAATGTGCCGCCTGACGATTTTGCCCGCGACTGAAACACCGCCCAGTAGTACGTTGGCTAATGCCGCTGCGGTGGTGTGTGGCGATTTTATCCATAGATTTATAGTTTATTCTCGGCGTGTCGGGTGTTTACAAACCATTTTATATTAAATTGTAATTAAGTGCAAATTTTATAATCGAGTGAGCGGCCTGGCTTGCAAGGCCAGCCTAGGGGTGCCGCCCTCTCGCGGCGATGAGACGGGATGTTTGACGTTTAAGTACTTGATTTTATGCAGAGTGGAGTTAATTGATATTGAATTAATTTTGGCAAGATTTTACAGACTGTCGAGTTAGATGGCTTTGATTTCAAGTCAGCCTTAATTCCTTACGAAAAAAATAAAGCCTAAAGTATGTATTTGTGTAAACGTGCGTGCTCTAATGACATGCATCTCATACGTCGGATACAGTTTACGAAGTGATGCGTTTCTAAGATATAATTTTGCTGGCTATTTTTGTGAAATTAAGTACCTGTAAAGGATTTTCCACCTTCAGGTATTAAAATTGTATGCTGTTGCTGTAATAACTCAACTGGTGTGGTCTCTTAGTTGTCCCAGCTGTTAATCATTCTGCTTGTGAGCATTCTAGGCTGTACACACCCACATATCACTGTTGCATTGAAGCTGGAGCAGTCGGCATTGATTTGAGTCTGCCCTGTTTCCCTGTTCTGAACTTGGGGTAAAGGTTATTCTGTTGCGCTTTATTTAGAATGCTGTTAAAGTGTGCTGTATCTAGCAGAATACTGTTCCTTTATTTAAAAACGAATGCTTTTGTTGGAGTACCTGAATATCATCTGAAGTGTACTTGGGTGTGTGTGCATGCATGTAATGCCAGTCTTGCCTGGTAGAGATACCGGCCATTGTGGCCTAATGGTTAGGGAGTCACACTTGTGATTGAAAGGTTGCTGGTTCGAATCCTCAACCAGCAAGGTACCACTGAGGTACACTGAGCAAGGTACTGTCACCAAGCACTGCTTTCTGGGCACTGAATTACACGCATCAGTTAAATGCAGAGAACACATTTCTTTGTTATGCCCTGTGTGCTGTGATGTGTCAACAATGACAATCACTTTAACTTAATTTCACTTAGAGATCCTGTTGATAATTGTAGTCATGTCCTTTCCTGTCTCCTGCTAAAGGAGGTGGCGTTATTTTAAAATAGCCCCAGTTGATTTGATGTGAGAATGAATGATGCTTTTATTAACCCCTCCAGGAGGGGACTTTTGGTATCCACTGACACATCTATTTTCATGGCCCTCTTGAACAACATTCGGTCATTTAAGATTGTTTAAACATTCCTAAATAACACCAGCTCAAATCTGTAATTTAAGCATTTGATGCAGTAATATTTTTATCATTTACATCCTTTGGCTTTCCATCATAGGTTATAGTGCGCTGTTGGTTGAATGACTTCTTTCCAGAGCAGCCGTCCATTAGCTATGCTGCATTTTAAGATAGGTATTATTCTTCCTAAACATGCCTATTTGCATGTAGGGTTTATTCAAAGCTTAAACCGAGAGCAGGATGTTACAAGAACTTGTATGAACAGCTGGCAGCGGTAATTGGAATACAAATGTTGTCTCTTGTGGTCTCAGAAGTGTAACGACAATCTTGTGCGGAGCTCCTGAGTGGCCCACATATTTACCACAATAGTCAGGTGTTCACCAGGCTTGTCGCGCAAGCTCAGCCTTAGCAGTTCATTGTTCACTGAAGTGTCAAACAATTTATGGAGTAATCGGTCAAGAATTTGGGGTAATGGATTTAGGTGTTTCATGGTCCAAAGAATTGTGAAGTTAGATCTCCATTTGTAATTTTCAGTAATGAGCAGTTATGGTGTTGACATTTGTGGAAACTTCTCATTACTGATACATAAGTGAAATTTGCATATCTGCTAGGCTTGCACAATGTACAATATTAATACTGACATTGCATGTTATGCATATGCAATTGTTACATCACAAGGACTTCAACCAGCTGGATTGTGATAAGGTTGGGGTGGAAATTTTTTATGCCGGCTGGCCATTATTCTGCGGTATATGGTATTTTCTCACGTTTGTGAGAGTTAATGCATGGCAACTCTTCTTACTTGTGTGTTCACATTTACATTTAATTATTTTCACATTTATGAACCAGAATGCATCTCTTTGTAAAACTACTATTTATGCTTGGGCAGTATAAGGGCAGCGCAACAAACCGTGGTATTTCCTTTCAGCAAAACTGTTTCTTTGGAGATTCAAAATAATGGAATAGCACTGCTTTTTTAAATAGTTGAAATATTGCATACCTGAGTGTAATGTCTGGAAGTTATCGAAAATTAGATGTTTCCTACTACTGTTACGTATTTTAGTTGTATGTGACTCAAACCACTGTCTTTAATTTGAAAATTCTCCATTGCTAAGACTGCAAGTCAGTCATTAGTTCTAAAATTGCTTCCTGCTTAAACCCAAAGGCCAGTATGTAGTTTATGTAGAAATGTGTTGGCCAAATGTGTAATAACTGTGGTTTAACTGTTATACTTTTTAAATGCAAAGCTGTGGAGGGAAAGTGTCATATAGAGGAGTGGCATGGTGGTGCGCTGAATAGTATTGTCGCCTCACATCTCTGGGACCAGGTTACGAGTGTCTGACATTGCTTAATTTGTGTGGAGTTTGCGTGTCCTCCCTGTGGAGTTTGCGTGTCCTCCCTGTGGAGTTTGCGTGTCCTCCCTGTGGAGTTTGCGTGTCCTCCCTGTGGAGTTTGCGTGTCCTCCCTGTGGAGTTTGCGTGTCCTCCCTGTGGAGTTTGCGTGTCCTCCCTGTGGAGTTTGCGTGTCCTCCCTGTGGAGTTTTCCCTGGATTCTCTGGTTTCCCCCTACAGTCCTAAAACATGCTGAGGTTAATTGGAGTTACCAAATTGCCCATAGGTGTGCTTGTGTGAGTGTGCCCTGTGATGGGCTGGTGTCCCATCATGGGTTGTTCCCTGCTTTGCACCTGTAATCTCCAGGATATGCTCTGGACCCCCTGCGACCCTGAATAGGACAAGCGGTTATAGGAAACTGACGGATGGAGATGTATATTAATTCAACCATCATCTCGTTATTTTGGCTTTATTCACCTCCCGGTGGTATTCTGCATTATGGATAATATTAGGGCTGTCACTATCGATTATATCAGTAATCGAGAAATCTAACAATCTGATGACTTGTTGAGTAATCGATTTTATATAATATACATTACAATTGCGTAAGGCAGTAACCAAGCACACATTTTAATGATGGTTCTTTTTCAGCATTATCTAGTACAGGTTTAAAAATGAGTCTAAAGCTTACTTCCACTGCTTTTGCATGAGCATTTCATGAGCATTTCCGAGACAATCATTTTTGTTCTCGCCTTTGGACTGATTCATAGACTGCATGATGCGTTTGTGAGAAACAACAAATGAGTGAAGAGGAGGAAAGCCAACAGGATCTAGTCATATTCATGTATATTCTTCTGTATGAAAATATTTTGTATTACAAAGGGACAATATTGAGCAAAAGGAAGTGATTTTTTTGGACTGCTTAGTTGGCCCAGCTAGTGGCAACACTACCAACTTATTTGACTTTTTTTTTTTGTTTGACAGTTATTTTACATTTTTTTTTTCCAACTGCTTTTTTGATTTATAAATATCACAATATTTATTTAAAAAAAAATTCACATTGCATTTTTTACTGTGTAATCCTAATCTGAGCATTGTTTTTATTTGTGTGAGAGGAAAATGTTGGCTTTGGCTTTGTTTTCAGGAAGTCACACCAAAGAATTTGTTGGCTAAATATGGCTGTAGATGGCAGTAGAAGCACGCTTTAATGTCAGATGACTATAGCTATCAAATATGTGAAAGATGTAGCTCAGCCTTGGACTGATTGATACCAAAGATAAGGCAAGACTCATCCTACTTTCAAGGAGTTCAAGGAAGACCACCAATGGCAAATTGAGTGTAAAGAGAGTGTAGTTTTTTCCCCCTTCAGATTATACATTGCACACGATGTAAAACACATTAATCCCTGCCCTTCTGCAATGTACATTTGCTTTCCATATGTGCAAACAGGTGGTGTAAAGTGACCTTTGTTTGTGTTTCCAGCCACAAACCAGTGGTTTATTCCAGCGGTGCGTGGTGATATCCCGCCAGGATGTGCCGCCTATGGCTTTGTTTGCGATGGTACGCGGCTCCTGGTATTTGGAGGCATGGTGGAGTATGGCAAGTACAGCAACGATCTTTACGAGCTGCAGGTAAGGACTCCCTTGAATAAATGTTAAATGTTTTGCAAAGTATGTTCAGTCACACTTTTTGTATGGGGAATCTTACTGGTTGGTTTCTCATGAAGCACTTTACTGTGACTTGTAAGAATTTTCCATGCTCTGTTAGGTGGTGTCTTCTTGGAGATAGAGGGCCTTTGTTCCTTAAGCTTAATTCCCATTTTCTTGGGTAATGTTGGTGGTGCTGGTGCTTCAGTAACACTTTGGTGTTCAAGTGCAGTGCAGACTGTCTGTTTAGCCTTATGTTTCTGTGTGCTGAGAGTGTCCCTTTCGCCTGAACGAATGAAAGTGCCACCGTTTCATGTTCCAAGTGCTGTTTTAGATGATTGATAATCATACTAAATCTCCCAATTGTGAAAATGTAGAGAGTCCCCTCCCTCCCAATAGCACGATAATTCACTGGAGGGGGGAATACTGGTTGGCCACACCCCCCTTTTTGAGCACCTGCCCCTCAGTTTGTGCATGTCACTGAAGTGCTTAATTAGCTTGGTTGTATTAAGTAAAACTTTATTATTATCTCTCGAAAGGATGATGTCGTAAACATTCTAGGCAGCTCTTAAAAATTTCCACAAGGCTGACATCTCAAAATTTTGTAGTTTCAAGCCATGTGCCTCAGGCTTTTTGCAGTCTGACAACTGTATAATCTGGCCAGCTAACGTAAATTAGATGCCCTGGAAATTAAATGTATTGGGCTGTGGTAGCCGACATCGATCAGTTTAAAAAATGCTTGGATTGGCCCAAATTCAATTGTTTTATATTGGCTCAAGTTATCACTGGTTATATCATGGGCACAGCCTTGATGGGGGGTGTCTCTCTTCCAGGCCAGCCGATGGGAATGGAAGAAGCTGAAGCCTAAATCACCTAAAAATGGACCCCCTCCCTGCCCCCGCCTGGGTCACAGCTTCTCCCTGGTGGGGAACAAGTGCTACTTGTTCGGGGGACTGGCCAATGACAGTGAAGACCCCAAAAATAATATTCCCAGGTACCACAAACCTTAATGATATTCCCGCGGTCCTGCTTTTCTGTTTGTTGCTTGCAATATAAATTGTTTCATATGTTGCTAAGAACATGTACATCACTTGAAAAGTAGCTTAGTGAGACTAAATGATTGTGTTTGTGCATGTTACTTGTATCACTGAGCTGTAGCTTTGAGACATTTGCTTATGTTCCAGTAAAATGTCTATTCAAATGTTTGAAATCTGAGGTTCATGTAGAAAGTAATTGCTATGATATAGAAGGCAAAAATTTAAATGGGGGGGGGGTTTTAACTGTTCTTAACCAGGACCTGCAAATGAAAATGGACTGGGGCCGGGGGAGGGGGGCACACTAGAACATACCATTCTCCCTGCATATATTCCATGGACCTCTGGTTAAAAACCCCTGATTTAAAGAAGCCTTTAGATTTTTGTGTGTTCTGAGTAAGTGACATCATCCCTTTTGGGCCCAGATACCTTAATGACCTGTACACCCTGGAGCTGCGCCCAGGCTCCAGTGTGGTGGGCTGGGACGTCCCCATCACCTACGGCGTGCTGCCACCACCCCGGGAGAGCCACACAGCTGTGGTCTACACTGAGAAAGAAAGCGGGAAGTCGCGTCTAGTCATATACGGGGGCATGAGCGGCTGCCGTCTGGGCGACCTCTGGACTCTGGACATCGGTGAGTTTAGCTGGGTAGGCTAGACAGTTCGGTTGCGGTGGTGGTTGTAGGGCTGGCATGCGAGACCTTTTCCTCTGTCCTGCAGCTTCTCTCACCTGGAACAAGCCATCAGTGAACGGCACAGCGCCTTTGCCCCGCAGTCTCCACTCTGCCACCATCATTACAAACAAGTGAGCCTCTTCCTCCTCGGCCAGTTGGAGCCTAGTAGCCATCTCTGGATATACAATCAATCCCATCTCCTCACACTGTCAAGTGAATTGGCTCTGTGAAGTTGAAGGAAGGCTACTGAATGACATGGGCTGGTTTAGCGAAATGAACACACTGCTTTCATATCTGTGCCCATTACAAATGAGTCATCTCCCCTCCCCCTTTCTTTAAGGATGTTTGTGTTTGGAGGATGGGTTCCTCTGGTGATGGATGATGTGAAGGTGGCCACTCATGAGAAGGAATGGAAGTGCACAAACACACTGGCCTGTCTGAATCTGGGTACGTCCTCATATCGGTTTTGATCGGTGCATATGAGGGAGAGATGTGGAGTTGCTGGATACACAACCTTCATGCAAATCAATACTTTTTGTACTATGTGTTAAATATGCTATAGTCACAAGCTTAAAGTTTAGGGCTGCTGCCATTGCTGCATCTTTTCTAGACTCGATGTCCTGGGAGCAGGTCCTGATGGACACTCTTGAAGATACCATCCCCCGGGCCCGTGCTGGTCACTGCTCTGTGGCCATCAACTCTCGGTTGTACGTGTGGAGCGGTCGTGATGGCTATCGCAAGGCCTGGAACAACCAGGTGTGCTGCAAAGACCTCTGGTACCTGGAGACAGGTGAGTTCTTCCCTCCCCCCCTCCTCCCTGCCATAGATTTACCTCCTGTTAGTTGTCATACTCAGAGTTCAGGGAAGGTAGCTAAGCAGATTCTGTTAATCATAATTTGAATTGGATGAGTCTCAGCTGGTCTGAAAGCCCGGACAGCAGTGGAATACTCAGACTGTGTGCGCTGTGTCTGCCGGCAGAGAGACCGCCTGCGCCGTCACGTGTGCAGCTTGTGCGTGCCAACACCACCTCCCTGGAGGTCAGCTGGGGCACCGTGTCCACGGCCGACACCTACCTGCTGCAGCTTCAGAAGTACGACATTCCTGCTGCCTCCGCTTCCCCGGCCGTCACCCCAGCCCCCTCGCTGCCCACCAACTCGCCCAAGAGCCCCGCCCCTGCGGCGGCAGCCCCCGCTGCACAGAACCTGCCACACGCCAGCCTGGTGCCCCAGGCAGCCTCCCTCACGGCGTCCAGCTTGCCCATCCTGCCCACCTTGCCCAGTAGCCCCCTGGCTGCTGCCACAACTCGGGGCCCTGGTAGGTTTCCAGTCCCCTGTAGTGCTTGCATCTGACTTACTCACCTGATGTCCAGAAAACCCCTATTTTAAGACATGATATGTTTCCCCAGCCATCCTGAAGGTGGCAGCGCCACAGTCCGTTTCTGGAGCCTCCATTGTCACTGTGCGGCAGGCCAATCAGGCCATGAAGTCCCCCGTCACGGTCACCTCTCTCCCGGCAGGTGTCCGCATGGTCATGCCTGCCCAGAATGCCCAAGGCACGGTATGGCATGTGGCACAAATGTGACCCGTCTCTTTGGGTTCTGTTTTGTTTTACGGCTTCAATATTCACCTGGCGGCTGTGGGATGTTTGACAAAAGCGGCTGAGGTTTTTCTTTGTTTGCTCCAGCCAATAGGAAGCAGCCCCCAGATGAGCGGCATGGCTGCCTTAGCTGCAGCGGCAGCTGCCACGCAAAAGATCCCACCTTCCCTGGGGGCCACAGTGCTGAATGTCCCAGCCGGTGCCACGATGGTCAAAACGGTGGCTGTAACCCCGGGATCCACCACGCTCCCTGCGACCGTCAAGGTAGCCTCACCTGTTATGGTAAGTTATTGGTAATTTTGGTAGTTTTTCGATGTATGATCACTTGGCATCAGCTTTGTTTTAAGGGGCTCTTATGTTGAATTTTACACTGAGGGATTGTTAGTTTTGTTCTTTTTTTTGTGATTCCTGCGTGATTGTTTATTAGTTTCTCATTGTTTTTGCTATCTTGACAGGTCAGCAACCCAGCCACCCATTTGCTAAAGACTGCAGCAGCCCAGGTGGGCTCGCCTGCCGGCTCCGCCCCCGGCACGCCCACACGACCCATCATCACTGTGCACAAGTCCGGCACGGTCACCGTGGCTCAGCAGGCCCAGGTCGTCACCACCGTGGTGGGTGGCGTTACAAAGACCATCACCCTCGTCAAGAGTCCCATCACAATGGGAGGGGGAGGAACGCTGGTAAGAGGAAAGGGGGTGTAATATTACCTGCTGGTCACCTAGGTGATATTCAGGTGCACTGTGATCTTATCTTGGGTCTGAGCCACTAGGCTCCAAGCCGTTAACCCCTGATACAGGTTCTTAGTTGGCATGTTCCTCTTCCAGATATCAAACCTTGGGAAGGTGATGTCTGTGACAGGGCAGTCCTCCTCCAACCCCCTCACTCAGATTATACAGGTGAGTGTTGATGTAGTTTGTTAGGAAAACAAATCTGCCAAAGCAAGGCGAATGTGGCATGGTTGTCCAGGTCCTTAATATGGAATAAAAACCACTTCACTTTCTAATCTACTGATGATCATTTCAGACTAAGGGTCCCCTTCCGGCCGGCACCATCCTGAAGCTAGTGACATCGGCTGACGGCAAACCCGCCACCATAATCACCACCACTCAGGCCGGTGGCGCTGGCAACAAGCCCACCATTCTGGGGATCAGCAGCGTGTCGCCGACGGCTACCGCCAAACCAGGCACCACCACCATCATCAAGACCATCCCGATGTCGGCCATTGTGACCCAATCTGGGGCTTCAGGTCAGCCAGCTTGGTCCTTCTGGGCTCCCAGGAAAATGGGCTTGACCCTTAAGAAACTCATAAGCTGTGTCTGTCTGCAAAACAGGTGTGACCAACACCCCAGGGATGAAGACCCCCATCACTATTATTACCAACAAAATGATGACCCCTGGCACTGGGACCCCAGGCAAAATCATCACTGCTATGCCCAAGCTTGGCACGGGGCCAGGGCAGCAGGGCCTGACTCAGGTAACATCCTGAGAATGAGGGGATGTTCACGCCTCTCTGGAGTAGGGTACTATGTGTGTTTAGGTTGGTTGTGTTCGCAGCGTAAAGGCCTTTGCACACAGTCTGATTTTTTTTTTTTAAATTTTTGTATGCTTTTTATTGAACAATCATCCGATAATTTTCCACACAGAAACCTTGCACACTAATCCAACACATTTTTTTTATTCTATGATTGTCTCATATTGCAAATTTTTACAAAATGCTTAAGAAGTGGGGATGATTGTGTGCTGCTGAGCAGGAAAAAAAAAACCTACTGGGTCCATCCAATCCTGAGAAGCTGTTGGGAGGAGGGAGAATTTCACCACCTGATACAGGAAGGACTGATCTCATGTCTGTGAATGTTTTCATGTGAAGCCACCTGCCTTCCACACAGGTTGTTCTGAAGGGGGCACCAGGGCAGCCGGGCACTATCCTGCGAACTGTTCCCATGGGTGGAGTCAGACTGGTTACCCCCGTCACTATGTCAACTGTCAAGCCAACTGTAACCACGCTGGTGGTGAAAGGGACGACTGGTAAGTAGGAGTAGCTGAGAAGTAGCGGTCTGTGTCTGTGCTTGTCTGTCATGACCGGTGATGCACCTGTGCTTGTGTTCCCTCAGGAGTGACGACACTGGGCACTGTAACTGGCACAGTGTCAAGCAGCCTGGCTGGTGGCAACTTAGTCAGCGCCAACGCATCGCTGGCCACGCCCATCACCACTCTGGGAACCATCGCCACGCTGTCTAGTCAGATCATTAACCCGGCTGCCATCACTGTGTCCGCTGCCCAGACCAGCCTCACGTCGGCCTCTCCACTGCCCACCCCGACCATTACCATGCAGGTGATGCTCGCTTAGCTGTTATTCTGCCAGGAAAGGTGATGGGGTGGCTTGTCAGTGACTGATTGGTTGTAATTAAATGTTTGGGCTTCCCACCTCTTTCCAAATGCAGTCTCTGAACCAGCCTACCCAGGTGACTCTGATAACCACTCCCAGTGGTGTGGAGGCCCAGCCTGTGCATGACCTGCCTGTCTCCATCCTGGCATCTCCCACCTCTGAACAGCCTGTTGGTGCAGAGGCAGGTGCGGGGGATGCCCCTGGCACGGTCACCTTGGTGTGCTCGAACCCGCCCTGCGAGACCCACGAGACCGGAACCACCAACACGGCAACGGTGGCCTCGTCCGGCATGGGCATGCAGCGCGTGTGCTCGAACCCGCCCTGCGAGACCCACGAGACCGGAACCACCAACACGGCAACGGTGGCCTCGTCCGGTATGGGCATGCAGCGCGTGTGCTCGAACCCGCCCTGTGAGACCCACGAGACCGGAACCACCAACACGGCCACAGTGGCCTCGTCCGGCATGGGTTCTGGACAGAATGGGACCGTCCAGAGGGTGTGCTCGAACCCGCCCTGTGAGACCCACGAGACCGGAACCACCAACACGGCCACTACAGCCACCTGCAGCATGGAGACTGCTGAAGGCCCAGGTACAGTCCTGGGGGGGGGGTGGGGGGTTGAAATGCTCTTTGTGCAGCGTTCCTGTGCAGGGACCTTAAGTCACAAAATGTCTTGAGTATTTTCAGAATTTAAGGTCAAGGCCAAGTGATTCTGAACAACTTTCTAATTATATTTGCGTTTCCATCCTTTTGTCTTTGTGTTATTTTTGGTTCTGTAACCCCCCCGCTGTGCCATCTGCAGTTCTGCCCTGTACCACCCACAGTCTGTACATCCTCCATTGAAAAGGGCAAGCCAAAAATAGGTGACAGTCACTGGGAAGAACTATTAATTCCCTTCCCTGGGTCCTCGTTAAAATTTCACTTCCCAGATTTTCAATGAATTTTTGAAGCCATGCAATCTTGTGAAAAACGGGAACTTTTTCCAGTTTGCACTGAAAATTGGTTATAACTTGAAAACAGGGCCACTGATCAGTGAAACTTGCATCCCCAGGCAAGTTGGACGGTTCCTACAACTTTATTTGGACCCCCAAGATTTTCCCCAGTATATTTTTATGAAAAAATTAAAACTGATAATTCTGTGGGAAAAATCGGTCTTGAATTTTGACCCAGTCTAAGAAGCATTGAATTTGAAATTGACTATTGAGTTCAGCTGTGACGTAAGCTTGTGTCCATGTCTGTGTTTGGCTTTACAGCTCAGCAGAGTGGTGATGCTGCAGAGGGAGCTGTGACAGATGTCCTTCCTAGCCCTGCTCCATCTGCAGTTGTGGTGGCTGCCATGACAACACAGGGCAGAGCCATCACCACCGTGACCCAAGCCACTCCTGCCCCTGGGCCCTCTGTGCCGGTAAGTCCCTAACAACAGATGCACTCTTCTGGCCTTGTTCAAACAATTTTTGTTTTTGCATTTAACCTGGGATTCCCTTTGAATTGGTAACCCAGTTGTTCTTGATGGTCCCCCCCCCCAGTCCATTGCCTCCATTACGGAGTCAGCGGCAGGCAGCGAGGAAGTCTCTGTGGAGATCACGCAGGAGCAGCTGCAGCAGCTGGCTGAGGCTGCAGCAGCCCAGCAGGGAGAGCTGGAGTCCATGCAGACGGAGTGCCAGGACCAGGAGGGCCTGGAGGGGGCGGAGGCTGTGGAGGGCCAGATGGAGGCTCTGCCCATTGCCATGGAAACCCAGCCCAGTCAGGAAGAGCAAACTGAGGTATGAGCCCCAACTCCTGATTTGTGGACATTTATGCTTCGAATGAGCTTATGTTGACCCCCCCCTCCCCTTCTCCTGCTGTCCCGCCAGCCCCTGCACCCTGGCTGTCAGGTTGAGGGAGCGGAGTCTGAGGACGTGGCCGTCCCAGTGCAGAATACCGAGGCACTCGCCCTGCCCCCAGAGCTGATGTCAGAGGGCCACTCTGCCACCCTGATGGTGACTGGCCTCACCCCAGAGGAGCTGGCCGTGACAGCGGCGGCCGAGGCAGCGGCAGCCGAAGCAGCGGCAGCCGAAGCAGCGGCGGCCGAAGCAGCGGCGGCCGAGGCAGCGGCAGCCGAGGCAGCGGCGGCTGAGGCGGCCGAGGCAGCGGCGCAGGCCGCAGCCACCGAGGAGGCTCAGGCTTTGGCCATCCACGCCGTCCTTCAGGCCGCTCAGCAGGCAGTCATGAGTGAGTGCCAGGGACCAGACTGGGTTGCTGTCCTGGGGAGCTGAAGGACATGGCCTAGACCTCTCTTTCGTTTTCTGCATGACCTGCAGACGCTGGGGAGGGAGACTCGGGGCAGGGTGGCCACCAGCCCACCACCATCCCCATCGTGCTGACGCAGCAGGAACTGGCCGCACTGGTGCAGCAGCAGCATCAGCTCCAGGCGGCGGCGGCGGCAGCAGCGGCCGCGCAGCAGCAGGCCGTAGCCCAGGCCGTTATCCCCACCGAGGGCCTGGCCCCCGCCGACAGCCTCAACGATCCCACCTCGGAGAGCAACGGGCACGGCGAGATGGCGGCCGCAGTCGCTGGCGCCGTGGCGGGGCTGCTGCCGCACACTTCTGCCGAAAGTGAGTGTATCACCGTATCGCACGGACAGCACAAAGGTCTAGGTGTGCTCGGCACTGAGCCCTCCTGAACAGCTGCTTTACAACTGTAACATGCACTGTAATTATTTAGACTTCTAGAAGGTACCAAGAATTTGTGGGAATGTGACCTGGCACAGCGTATGATGTGAGGATATGAGTCACTGTATATATTTGCGCTGGCTGGCATCTTTTTTTATGGTGATGAAATTTGTTACACATTTCCTGTTTATATGCTGTCATGTCATTTTGTGAATTCTCAGTTTGTATTCCTTTGACTTCCAATTATTCATGCCCACCAACGTCCCTTGCTGCTGTCCCCCAGCTTTGGCTCCATCTAGCACATTTGCACCCTCTCAGCCTGTGGTGGTTGTGACCCCAGCAAAAACACAGACAGAGGTGGCTAATGGCATTGAATCGGCAGCTGGGGTGAGTGTTACCTTGTGCCTGTAGTTGATTCTGTGTCTGCTTTTGGTTTCTTTTAGATGTCTTTGTCTATCGTGATGCATGCAAATAAGCTGCACGACGACTCCTTTCTTAAGACACAACACTAAGGTTCTCATGAACAAGAACCTTGTTCTGTGTTGTACAGCATTGGTTTTGATCTGCTGTGTAAAAATTCTGTCGCAATAAGTCTCTGGAATCTTCGCTTTTCTCTGGGTTTCTGTAGAAGCCGAACCTCCCTCCCACCCCTGTCAAGGCCCCTGTGAAGAAGGAGAACCAGTGGTTTGATGTGGGAATAGTCAAGGTGACAAACATGGTGGTCACCCACTACTACGTTCCAGGGGATGACTCGCCTGTTACTGATGTGAGTCTGCAGTTTGGTTTACAGATGAGGGCACATACTAGGATAGTTGTTAAGGATGCTTAGTCCAACCTATAAACTTTGGAGGGTTTACTGTCATACTTTTTAAGCAAAAAGGCCTGAAGTCTAGGTTTTTCTTCTATTAATTCTTAGCTGATAGTAGTCATTGTGATGCTTGTTCAGCATTGTGAGGCCTGTCCTGTCGCAGGATGACTCGGGGGCTGTTCCAGACTACAATCAGATGAAGAAGGTAGAACTTCACCCCGGCACAGCCTATAAGTTCCGTGTGGCTGGAATCAATGCCTGTGGGCGCGGATCCTTCTCGGAGATCTCCGCCTTTAAGACCTGCCTGCCTGGCTTCCCTGGGGCGCCCTGCGCTATCAAGATCAGCAAGGTCAGCAGCTGGTTTTGTCCTTCCTGTTTTGCAGTTGTCCTGTTTTTACTGGTCGGCACTTGTGACCCTGTTATCATTCTCTTGTGCTCCTCACCAGAGCCCCGATGGTGCCCACCTGACGTGGGAACCACCCTCGGTGACGTCGGGGAAGATTGTGGAATACTCTGTGTACCTGGCCATCCAGAGCTCACAGGCAGGGGAAGCCAAGACCCCAGCAGCACCAGCCCAGCTGGCCTTTATGCGAGTTTACTGTGGACCCAGTCCTGCGTGCCTGGTGCAGACCTCCAGCCTCTCCAATGCCCACATCGACTACACAACCAAGCCCGCCATTATCTTCCGCATCGCTGCACGCAACGAGAAGGGTTACGGGCCAGCCACGCAGGTCCGGTGGCTGCAAGGTGAGCACAGTTCCTCTCGGCAGCAGACCATTAGCCTTCTGTCTGCAGAGGCAGTATCTACAGCAGGTTAGACTGCCTGTTTGTGCTCCTATTTCTTATAAGCTATGTGTGACTTCAAAATGGCTTTGAATTCAGAATGGACCTGCATTGTGGGGAACTGCTGAGATGTTTTTCTAACGCATCATAACTCGGGTCTCTAGAATCGAGCAGAGATGGTGCCGCCGGGAAACCAGCTGTCAAGAGGCCAGTCTCATCCCCTGATGTGTGAGTTTTGTCCAAGCGTGAATCCCTTCATTTGCTCAATGGTGGTAGTGGGGAGTGACTGTTGTCCTGAGTGAACTCGCATTAAATCGCTCTGTGTCTGTCTTACAGCAAGGCTACCGGCCCCAAGAAGGCACGTTCGGACCAGTGAAACCCCGAGGCCCTACTTGCTCTGTCCTTCCCCCACCCGGGTGGTGATGTCCCTTCTCGCCCTCTGCCCAGCTACACCACCGCCTCGACTGAAGCTAAGCCCGTTTAAAGACGGCCATATAAAACTGGCTGGAGAGAGACTGTTGCTCCACCCAGGACATCTTGGTGCCATGGACGCCTATTCTCAACCAGTGATTTTATTTCTCGGTTTCCTCAAGCAAAACGAAGGAAAAGCACATTGATTGGTGATGCGCACTCGTGTCACGGTGGAAGAGCCATGGTGATGTGTTTTCTACATTTTCATTTTTGGAAATTTTTTCTTTTTTTGCATTTCAGAACTTTTTCAGGCTAATTTCAGCTGAAGGACTACATAGAAACCAGGCACAGCTTTGCTCATTGTCAGATGGCAGACTTTTGGTTGGAGGCATGAGAGAGCATAGTGGGTGAGGTGGTGGCAGCAGTGATGAAGCTTTCAAAAAGGAGGAAGTGACAAAATGAAGCACTTGTTCTCAGACAAAGGGAGGTGAGGGGATGACAGTCTGCCACATTGTTGGACAAGATCTCCTTGTTTTGTCATCACTGTGTGCAGTTACCCTGTAAGGAGAGCAGGTGGAGGAAACTTTGCCACAATTCGACAAAGAAAAATTAAGCTAAAGATTTGGAGAGAACAGGCATAAAAATCCTAAAGTAAGCAATGATGGTATTGCCTGTAGTTTTATTTTTGTATTTTTAAGTCGTCCCCTCCCCCTCCCATCCCCCTCCCCCTCCCCTCCCTGTGTATGTACCTCAGTGTGCATTTTCCTTTTCCAAACTACCATTCATCCTCATAGTTTGTGTTTGTGTACTGAGGAGTGGCATTCTGGGGGAGGGGGTGCACTATGCTTTTAAATCTGAGTGATTGCATTTTTTTTTTGTTGGAGGAAACCGGAAAGGATGAACGTTTTATATTTGTGCTATTAAAGCAAGCAACTGCGTGAGCAAACACAGGACTTGAAGGGATCGCTCAGTCAGGAGTGCAGTTACTGTTTACTACACATTTTCAGCGCTTGTCTTGCTTTACGTGTGATGCCAAACCGAAACCCTACATGAGCATATTGCACATAAACGAGGCAGTTTCCTCAGTTCCCTGTCCTCTGCTTCCAGCACACATCTCTGGTTCTGTGTTTGTTCTGGGTGAGGTGGTGCTGAATGAACTTTGACTTAAGTTGCAAGTTTTTGGGTATGAATCCTTGCAGCCCCCCCCCCCCCGGGGGTAGGAAGGAGAGTCCCCCTCTTTTTTTTTTTTTTTTTTTTTTTTTTTCCTTTTCATTTTCTTTTTCTTTTTTTTTTAACTTTAATGTTTTTTTTGGAGGGGTGGGGTGTTTAACATGAACAGGGGAGGTGGCCAGTTTGGGCAAGATAGCAGGGTTAGGGTATAATTATTGGCATAGCCAGTGTGGCTCACTTGTATATTAGTTCATATAGCAAGAAGACATCTTGGCCTTTTTATATAATTACCTGTAATAAGCATTTTTACATGTTGGTCATCTCTTGATTGCCTTTTTGTGTCTTGACTTATAAAACAAACTGAAATACCATCTCCTTGTCGATTTTCATATAGTTCTGAAAGTATTGGAGCCATTTCAGCTGAATCCCTACCTCTTCTCCAGGATTTATTTGAACAAAAATTGCATCAACGTCCCGGTCCACTTCATTTGCCTAGTGGAAAGTAGATTTATGTCCTCTAGGCTGGAAGGGTAATCCATCTCTACACAAAGCACCTGAGCTTGGAGCCCACAACTGCCCTATGTCATTTTTGATTTTCCTGAGTTCTATCCCAGGCTGGTACAATTTTGCACACAAATACTACACTTGACAGGCCATAACGAGCAACTTTTTGTCATGAACAGCCCATTAGCTGAACGAGTCTTGGACTTTCCCTTCATCCCCGCAGTGGCACCTTCTTCATCCAGGTCATTAAAGCCAGCATACTGACTGGCGGAGATCAGCAGAGACAGTGGGCTTTTGGTGTGTCGTCTACCTGTTCAACCTTAATCTGGATATTTCTTCCAGTGCTCTCCAGCGTGTGGGTGTTATACTGAAGGGAAAAATATGCTAAATGTAAACCTTCTATAGGATGTATAACAAGCCAAAGGATATGCACGGAGATGTTGGGTTTAACTCACCCGCTGAAGAGCTGCACGGGCCGCTGTCTGAAAGGGTTTGTCCACATCCACACCCTCCTTGGCGCTCCCCTCAAAGTACTTGGCCCCCACCTTCTTGCACCAGTCCAATGCCAGACGCTGGGGCACCTGCAGGATCAGTTTGTTGTCATTGAGACTGATGCTGTCCCTAAGGCATCTGCTGTCCTTTCAAAGATTGACCTCCAACATCTAATCCTCATCTGAGAACATCCAGATTCCCCTTTCTTAAAACTAGGTGTCTTGCTAAAGTTAGCTAAATGGGGCATCCTGTTATCGCAACATAAGCTTTTGCTGTACTTCAGATGCATGAATTATGGAAAATATAGAAGGAATCAAACTGCACCCACAGCCAAACATAAACTTGTTCGGGCTTCAGGGGTAGAGCTGTGTGCATCTTGACCTACTTCTCGCTTTCGCAGGTCAGTCTTGTTACCGATGACTACGAAGGGGAAGCTGGTTGGTTCTGGGGGATCAGCCTGCACCAGGAACTCCTTAAGCCAGTCACTGAGCGATGAGAAGGAGGTCATGGAGCTCACGTCGAACAGCAGGAGGCAACAATGTGCTCCTCGGTACAGGGCATTACCCAGGGACTGGAACCTCTCGGTGCCTGCAGTGTCCCAGATCTGCCCCAAGGAGGCGGCAGGGGAAATTTACCAGCATGTGGACTTGCCACGTTTAGGTGATCTACCTACAGCACAATGCCTCTTGTACACGGAATATAATTTAGCTAATTAAGAAAAAAAAAAACAGACAGTAGGAAGTGATATACCAGTTTGGCTGTTAGAGCTTTCAGGTAACTTGCATGTAAATCCGGTCAAGATGAACTTTTCCATTCATACCTGCAGCACTATCAGCCTGCCGTCCACCGTGATCTCCTTGGTGAGGAAGTCTGCCCCAATGGTGGCGCGGTACGTGTTGGTGAAGCGATGGTTCACATATTGGTTCATGAACGAGGACTTCCCCACCCTGTAGATAAACACGGCGGTAGGTACCCTACTGGACAAACACACGGGCGACCGAGCAGGGGGCTGGACCGGGAATTCAAACTACAGTGAACACACCGTGTAATTCACGCATTAGCGGATTGAAAGGGTGTCTAACAAATCCGAAGGTCCGGTACTGATAAAAGTACTTTAAAAAATACCCGGATACGAAAATATGCCCTTACTGGTATGAAAGGTCGGTGAATCATAGCTGTTCGCTATTGGGTATGCAGTTTCTTGTAAGATTAATCTTTTTCATAACTGCGTTTTGAAGGTGTGTCATATTGCCCAAGGTACTATTAAATCGTAAACTAGTATTTAGAGTAAATTTGATACTTATGTTGCGACCAATACGACTTTTAGCTTTCAGTTTAGATGGCTAATTTTCGGTCACCTTGTCTTTGTTACATTTGTAACGTTCATGCAAATTTAAGTATTATCTCTGCGTCCGCTCGACGTTTAAGCAAACAGTACGACCACGGTGAGAAACTGCCAGGTGATGTTTCACACAGTCGGGTCAGAACCAAAAATATCATCAGCAATGGACATCTTGGGAACTGGCCTGTTTGACCACGCGCCTTTGTGGAAAACTTGATATCGTACAATATTATTTTAAAACGTGATGTTTCTGGGTTGACCTCGCGCACTGTTTCATCCATGTTTTGTTGTCGGATTTTCTTAACTTTTAGCTTGGTGGTTAATAGCCGCAGAATGAAACGTGGGGAGGGGGGAAATTGAAAATAAATTCAAGTAGCAAACACGAACCGAAAAGTCTCCAAGCGGACCCCGTATTTCATAGATGTTAAGGAGACTCCGACCAAGGAAATGCTGCAGAAGTACAATCGCGCCCGAAAGACCACAGCAAGCTCAGCCTACCCTAATGCCAGATGGCGTTAAACGGTCAAACTCACCCGGAGTTGCCAATTAAAATGACCTTCAAATGCGCCTTGTTCCAAGCCGACATGGTCACTGCGTGCGGTGCGCTGGGGAAAGTAGGGCGCCTGGTTTCACTTTATCCTGATTCCCAGCGATTATCATTTAAGGGGGCGGCATCCTATGGCAAGTTTCTACAGTTGTACGCTACGTATTTCCCTTTTTTTCATCAGTAGGCTATGTGTGTCCCATACCTGCTTTCTTCGACTTAGGCGAATTCACAGGTACGCGCATACAAGTCGCGCTTTGAGGTCCATCAAGGTACGAATGGCTATTTTGCTTGAAATTGTTTCTTATATGCACAACACTTGTTTGCAGTTAATTTTTACAACTACACGCCTGTCAAACGGCGATGGAAAACCAAGTTAACGGTAACTGCATTTATTTATAATTGGCAATATTTTGAATCAGACAAAAAATAATGGTCTCAGCACTGGCAGAATTAACCTTGCGACCATCTTTTCCTCACTAGGAGCGTGATTACCACATTGGCTACTTATTTGTCAAACAAGAATACTTTCAACCAAATAGTATGTTACAATATTGTAACAGAAATCTGGGATAAAAATGCTTGGAAATAAATGTCATAATGTGTAGAGTTCCGGTTACTTTACTGTGTGGTAATCGAAATGTCATTTAGCGAATCACCGTTTAAATAAAATTTGTCTTGGTGCAGTCCTGCTCCACATAGATGCACGATACAGGGAAGACACCATGCACAGCACTCCTGCAGAAAAATTAACACTCAATGCCAAAATTAAGTATTCTTTGTCTATATTATGTGCAGTCCAGGCAGAAGTCTATACTAGGGTCTCTTTTCGACCATGAGGACTGCTCTGGAAGAGCGGCTGCTCAAATGCTAGTTGGTTCTGGTTTTATTGGACCTGTGACACTTCTCAGAAGTGGGTCGTGGGAACAGGTGGTGCTCTGGGAAGGAGGGGTCCATGATGGTCTCACCAATGGGTTTCCATACTCTGTAGATGTGCTGGATTTCATAGGCTGGGGGACGTCAGCCATTGACCTACCCTGCAGGTAGGCCCTTACCTACCACTGAGGACAGTGAGGGGAAGTCCTCAGTATTTTTTCTGTAACTCCAATAACCATGATCCATTATGGGGCACACCTAGGATGGGCTAACACTTTTCACCTCAGTATTTTAAATATCGTTGTTACGGCCCTGTGTGCAGGTATGGCAACGTGGTTTGCCCATGGACATCATGATCTGAGATCTGCCAGAGCAAAAATGTACACTGGGCTGGGAACCAGTAAGGTATTTGTACCAGTAAACGTGAATGAAATTCATCTGGTTTTAGGTTTCTGCAACATGTAATAAAACAGCTAATTTAACTAGTTACTTGCCTAGTTCTAGGGAAACAAGGTAGTGGGTTATTTCAGGACAAATGATCACAAGGACCCTAGACTCATTGCAGATTGTTATAGTTTCAGTATGGTTCAGATCAGGACTTTGGGCTGGCCGTTTCATCACCTAGATGTCCTCAGCTTTAAGGAATTGCTTCACCCGATTTCAGTGTGGCAAGGGGCATCGCCTTGTATAAAAATGACTGGCCGACTGGGTTATGCTCACAGGGAGGGAACTGCATGTCGTTGAAGGAGGTTCTGATACTCATTCGCATTCACCTTACCCCGTAGCCATATGAGAGGCCTGACTCCTGCTGCAGAGAACATACCCCACACCGTGACACTTGCCCTTCCCAACTTGTCTGACTTCTTCACACGCTTTTGGTGGAAACACCATCACACGTAATGCTTCTCATCTGAGCCAACTAAATTACACTTGCTTTCGTCACTGAAATAAACTTCGGACCAGTTCTACTCTGTCCACACAACATGCTTCTCAGCAAAGGGCTCGTCTTGCTTTTTTGTTCTACTTACTGATGAGCGGCATGGTCACTGCAGAGTGGGCTTTCAGTCCATATTGTCCCAAACAACAAGATCCTGTCAAGACAAATTCTTGTCCTGTCCAGAACCGATCGGGAAAGCAGTCCCAGCTATGGTGTTGAATTGATCCTCCACAAAGAGTTTCCTTAACATCCTGCTACCTAGCGCTGGTCTTACTTTGGTGACTGAGCTTTTTTTTGGATTTGAATGACTTGATTTCTTTGTACAGCTTCAATATTTGTTACATGATGCTCATAGAATAACAAAGTTGGGTAAGAAAGTCACCCCATCGGTATTCATCTGAACAACCTGACGTCACAGACTTCATTGAGGACACTAAGGTCAAGTCCTCAGTATTTTATGGGGCACACCTAGGAAGGACTAACATTTTTTGTATTTTAAAAGTCCTGGCTATAGCTCTGGTCGCAGGGTTTCAGTCACCTTGGAGAGGACCACCACCTTGCAAAATGCCTTATCAATGTCACCAAATAAATTTGGTTTGCCAGATATTTAGATGTATTTCAGATTAGAACCAAAAACTGTCAAGTATACCAAATCATTCTCTAATTTGGATCACATACCTTCTTCGAATTCCTTGTTTTATCTTGTGATGTGTGATAGTTTTCACTGATGAAATACGATTAAAATCTATCTCTTCTATTTATGTTTAGAATAACTTTGAATTCAAATAAGCAGCAACTTTGATAATTACAACAATGTCACTCATTCTCTAATTTTGATCACTACTGTATCACACTCTCACCTGTCCCCTACTGCTGTGTTGTTTCACTTACATAGTGTCAGAAAAGTCGAGAGTGAGAAAAAAAACACAGAAGTACATATGCTAGTTGGCTTTGTTTTGTTTTTCAGTTAAATTCAGGTCAGGGTTTCTCTCTCTGATATTTCCTTTGTGGTTCTCCCCGTGGGATTTGTCCAGGCATTTAATGTTTACCAGTTTTATCTCTGTGAGTAGGACTGTGTAGATATCAGCTACTGGATGTGTTTGTTACAGCTTTGGCCATGTTTAGTGAAAGGGTGCCCAGAAATACTGGCAGGTTTGTTGGCATTTAGACAAGTTTGTTCATCGAATTTGATTGAGCTGAATTTCATCCTTATAATAATGATAGTGTGGGTGGGCCAGCATGAGTTGTGGCATTACTAAGACCAAATGAACAAAGAGAAAGAAAAATCTATTTTGCCTCTCAACTGCACCTTTCCTCTGAGTCATCTAAACACACAGACACACCTGTCAGGCACATTCATTTTATGGTACTGTATGCTGAATGGGTAAGCACAGGATAAGGATTCAAGTCCAGAGAGTAAGAGTCCGGACCAAGATTTTGTTTCAACCAACCAGTAGAGTATAAAGAGCCACGGTCACAGATACTCAACTGGTTGGTTGAAACAAAATCTTGGCCTGGATTTTTACTCTCTGGACCTGAACTGGGACCTCCACCCGGGCCCACCAGTGCCACCATGGTAGCTAGAGAGAGCAGGTGATTTTATATAATTATGGTTTATAAAATGAATTAATTTGTTCAAATTCTCTACAATAATTTAGTATCTCAGCTAGGCCAATCCTACCGATAATGCAAATGTAGCAACTTGTTAGTGATCTAGATAGATTAAGTTAATTCTCAAGGGGAGACCTGATACTAATATAATCATATCAGACTGTTACACTAAAGCTTTTCTAACACTGTCCTGTTGTCCTGCCGGGTGGGGGCATTGTGAGAGGCTTTGTTGTGAAGTCCAAAGGCGAAGCAGGGGGTGGAACTGTTAATTTCTTAATTTGGTGATCAGTGGTCATTGTTAGCACACCACAGTGCACCACAACAAAATGTATCCTCTGAATTTAACCCATATGTGACATCGTGACATAGCAGGGGTGGTTCCTTGCTGGTCAGGGATTCAAACCAGTAATCGTTCAATTACAAGTGCACTTCCCTAACCATTAAGCCACCACTGCCCACAATATGTAGGTTCCACCGAGATTTGAACTCAGATCGCTGGATTCAAAGTCCAGAGTGCTAACCATTACACCATGGAACCAAGGCTGGCGGCCCACCCTGCACTTGTGCTGGAACCCGGGATCGAACCAGGGACCTTTAGATCTTCAGTCTAACGCTCTCCCAACTGAGCTATTCTGGGACATTGTTAACTCGCACTACCATGGCTGGGGGTTCAAATCCCATTCATGCTCTGTGTGTGTGAAATTTGTTGTTTTTAAACTGACCATAGTGTAAGGGGATGTGACCTGCAATGGACTGGCATCCTATCTGGGGTGTCCCCTTCCTCGTGCCCTGTAATGGACTGGCGTCCTACCTGGGGTGTCCCCTTCCTCGTGCCCTGTAATGGACTGGCATCCTACCTGGGGTGTCCCCTTCCTCGTGCCCTGTAATGGACTGGCGTCCTATCTGGGGTGTCCCCTTTCTCGTGCCCTGTAATGGACTGGCATCCTATCTGGGGTGTCCCCTTCCTCGTGCCTTGGGCTTCCTGGGATGGGCTCCAGGCCCACTGCTCCTCTGTACCGGATAAATGATAGTAAGTGGACAGATGCAAGCCATAAGTGGATATTTCTTCATAATAATAAAAGTAAAACAGTAGATGGCAGTGTTGTATAAAGGTGCTGTAAAGTATTATTTCACTTCATACTGTAATAACATCATTCCTGATCTGGTGGTCAACAGAAAATTAAATGAAAGGACTGAAAAAAAATCAGGAATGACCTATGGACAAGTAATGTGAACCTTTCGGTCAGCAAACCAATGCCGTTTGGAGTTCTCTCCACCACATGAGAAGTGTTACTCCAGATGGTTCTCTTGTGTGGTTCCCCGATGGTGGAATGAGTTGCTGAACCACATCTGGTCATCAGACTCCCTCTGTACCTTCAAGAAATGCCTCAAGACCCATCTGTTCCATGAATTCCTCTATTAGCCTGATGCCTCATTATGTTCCCTGAATGTTCTTGTGTTGCACTTCTGGTCCTTGAATGGTCTTATTAGGTTCTTGCTTTGTTAGAAGTTGTTGAGTACATGTTGTATAGTTCTACAGCTGTTGTGTAGCTCCTTCTCCAATACTGCTTACACTCGTACTTGGGCATGCATTGGAAGCTCAGCCTAGCTGCACTTATGTTCTTGTGGTTGACTATTTAACAGCACACGTTTATAGTGTGTTATTTGCCTCAGTTGTGCATTACATTGGAGAAAAGTGTCTGCTTAATATGTAAAATGTAAATTTAAATCCATAATGTCTTTAGGATCCTGAAACACTTGTACTCCTGAGCACTGTTACAGGTCAGTAGTTAAGAGTACTTGGCCTGTTGTGTGAGTCTGGTTAGTTGGTTAATCCAGGAGTAAAAATGCTTGACGGTTTAGATGACAAAAGACAAGTTGTGCGATGAAGCAAGTGCCTTTAGCAGAGTCCACGCCATGATAAACCAAAATACCAGCGATGTCATCTACACCCTGACCACACCACCAGCTCAAGTTAGTTTCAACTTGATCAGTCTGTGATACTGCAGAGACCACTGAACCTGGGTGGAATCGGCATCTCCAGGGACAAGGAGACCCAAATCTGTTTTGCAAGGAGCTGCAGGTTCTGTTTGGATTAAACTCCATAAAGGTCTATCTCAGGCAGATTTCTGTTGTGCTGACATCTTTTTGGCCTGCAGCAGATATGTCTCCTGCCGAAATGTGCTGTACCCAGAGGTAGAAAGTTCAGGTTCAGAAAGTACAAATCTACACCTAAGTTTTGTTTCAACCAACCAGTTGAGTATAAAGAGTCACAGTCACAGAGTACTCAACTGGTTGGTTGAAGCAAAACCTTGGTCTGGATTTTCACTTTCTGGACCCAAACTCACCACCTCTGCTGATAAGCCGAGCAGTAGTGAGCCGCCTTCCCACAGGTACCTCTTCCCAACTACTATGGTTGTTATATCAGCTTGATCACCTACTCACTTAAACTATTAATATATTAAATGGATTAATGGACATCGCTGCTGCTGGAAGCCTGAGGTGCTGCTGTCCTAAAAGTAAATGAGGAACTGTCCAGGGACGCCGGTCAGCCACAGGCCTTGAGAAGCTGTGCTTTGTAGGTTTCTGGGGAGCCGCAAACGCCATTGAAATGGGTGTCCTGCCTTGGTGTCAGTGTCCCTATTGTGGGACCCTGGGCCCATGACAGGGGTGATTCTAAGATTTTACCTTGTGAAGAAACACAGGACCCCCCCCCTCCCAGTCCAGGGCCAAATTTTAATCCGGGTCTGCCCATAATGCGCCGTTAGCTGAATAGTGGTTCTCATGACACTATGATATTCCCACCATGTTCAGCGTGCAGGTGTTGTGGCAGGGCAGGGAGAAGGTGGGAAAAAGATGACGATCCACTGAACACCCCACACAAAAAGGGGCTTATTAGACAAAACTTAACGGAAAGGGCAAACTAGAAAGCAAAGGGGTCATGAGGTGTCAGAACTAATCAAGGGAAAACACAACAGAACCATAAACAGACCTACAAAGGGAATTATGCAACAAAGGAATTAGAGGTAGGGAACTGGGCAGAGTAAAAACACACAATACCATAAGCACAATGACTGACTGACAAAGGGTGTTAGGGCTGGTACTTAAATACACATGAAAACCAGAGCAATGAAAAGGTGTATGTCATAATCAAAATAACCAATCAAGGATGGCAACAGGTAGAGTGACTAACACTAATTAGCACAGGACTAGGAAACACTGGCTGCACACTGGGATAATAAACTAGGATAATTAACATGGAACAAAAATATTAACAGGACAAGCAGGGTAATCCTATATGAAAAACTAATTGTAAATGGTCTAATGGTAAAACTAAATAGAAAATAAGAAACACTGGGGGAAACAGAAAACCAATAAATATAAATAAACAGATGTGTCTGGCCTGACCAGCTTCAAACCCACGACTGGCGAGTTACATGATAAGTCACTGAAACACACTAGTGATGAAAACTATGCAAGGGATGGGGGAAGCAGAATGACCAGCAATGACTGCCGGCCAACATGGGGAAAAGACAGACAGGCTGGGGTCGGACGGGCAGCAACCCTGACAGCAGGATGGTGCCTTTAGCTGGTGGTTATCAGAGTCTGACAGGACGCCCTCCCTCTCCTCCGCCTGCGTTTTGCTCACCCCTTCGCCCTGCGACCCCCATGTCACTCTTTAATGGCATGCCTTGATTCCCACTGCCCTTCCTGCCTTCACTGGTGTACTTTGTAATCTGTAGGATCAGCATCCCGAATGCCATGTGATACTATGACATGCTTTTGTGTACGCCTAAAATGCACAGTCATCGTGTTTGTTAAGAAAATACTGACAGTTTGCTAACAAAGCCCTCTGGAGACACACATTTTGGATTCAGCCAACTCAGTGAGTGTCAATCACGACCCTGGTCCCCTGTGACTGTGGACTGAGTGACTCTGACAGTACAGCTTCCATGCTGCCAGCTTTGGGTTTAATAGCTAATAAGTGTCAGCGCAGTGAGGCCTTAGATCTGCTTTGTCCGAGCTCAGCCCAGTGGCTCGACACCGACCGCTAACCCAGCTCCACAAACCATTTCTCAAGTACACTCATCCATGATAGGCCTCTGTCTCCAACTTCACCACTGTGAACAGAGAGAAAGGGGGATTGCAGAAATCTAACTGTGCAGATATGGTGAGGTAAGACTGCCGTTAGCATGTCAGCCTGTTAGCCAGTGTGGTGCCCCAGAAATCACCTTTATTATCTGACTGAGGAGGCCATGACATCAACGGGGCATGAAGCTCATATAAACTTACAGAACCCCCCTTTAAGAAGACTCAGACGGACCTTCCTGTGTGTGTGTATACACACACAGACATATATGTATATAAATATGTGTGTGAAATCATATGAAGTTATTTTTATAGGTGAACTAAAGTGACATTTCTGAAGAGAGAATCTTCCGGCTGCAAACACCCGATAAACCAAACTGATAACCTTTCCTGGAAGCTGGACATCAGCTATGCATCTGGTTAGGGTTAAGGATAGACATTGTCACATTAAGGACACATTGTATGTGTTCACAGTTGTATCTTTTACACAGTAAATAGCTAAATTTCTAAGCAGCGTCTTCTGACATGGGATAAAGATCATTATAAGTGCTTTTAAGATATGTTTCAGGTATGCTTCTAGGATATGTTTGTGATAATTAACATCTCCCCCCCCCCAGGTCAAATAAGCACGAGAGGGCGTGTCATCCCAATTAGCATCACTCAAACTCCCTCTCAACTTTGCTTTCCCCTTAACCGTAAGCTCAGTGTGCACCAACCTTGGGTCCGGTACTGATCAACTGGAGCGTCAATCACATCATACCTGCCAGCCTCACACACCGCCAGTGACAGTCCTCACGTCGGCAGATCAGAGGTCCCACACAAGCCATAGGCACGACGAGGGAGAGGCTGAGAAGGTCTCCAAGCTAACCAGGTAGATACTCTGCATCCTTTTGTGTTTCATCTACGCTGTCAGAACAAAGAGTACAGCACCGCTGCAGTTTGTACCCCAGGGGACAGGCAACATTAATGTACCCCAGTTATGCAAAAATGTTCTTCAGAGTCCATTTCTGTACCTTAAATGTATATTTATCTACAACTAGGGTACAATTGGCAAACCCTAGAGGGTACAACCCCAGTGACAAGTAATTGTACCCTCAAAGACGCAAATTGGTACTTTTATCTGTCAGTGTATGCAATCCTGGGTCATGGCTCTATTAAGAGACTTTTTAAACCTTTCTTTGTGTGTATAAGGATTTGTTAATTTGTTACGATTAGTCGCTATAAAAATAATCTTTTTTACTGGTGCTGTGTAAAAGTTCTGTACTACTCCTTCTGACTGACCCCTCAGTACTCTAAAATCCTTTTTTTTTTAAAAAAAAAAACAAAAAACATCCCAATATCCTATTTGGGTTTGAGAAGGTCTTGTTTTGAAATAAATTTCTTTTGTTTATGGTAAGGAAGTTGTGGAAATGACATGACTCTATGATGTGTAAAATTTGGACTACAGTAATGAAGTAATACTTTAATATTGTTTTTTATAATCTCTCTCTCTCTCTCTCTCTCTCTCTCTCT